ATATTTTCTAGGACACTGATGATGGAATATGGATTCCGAAAACGTGTTCTCTAATTAGCCCGTTGGGGTTTTTAAATATATACCTTTTATAAAGGTATTTTAATAATTTTTTTTATAAATTATAATATTATGCATATACGGTGTATATACATAAATTTACTGGAAAATGTAATATCGAAGCTTTCATAATACCTACTTTACTATTTTACCATTAAAAATAATGGACAAAAATTATCCAGTTAAAAGTACACACATGTATATTATCAGGTGATATATAGTACAAAATATTCAACAAACATGGCAACATTACTGCTTCCTTCCTTTTCATCCGAGAGTTGTCCTGATGTCACGTATGCAGGTCCTAACGCGCATTGTTTCAATTTGTTCAGATAAGAATTATAACAACTAGCATCCAACTGAGTATGCATATTTGTCGGAGTTTCACTTCATTAAGTTAAAGGAGAATTACCTTCTGGTATATAAATATGAAGTACAAACTGGAATATTATATTGTTCTTCAGAAATTTCATGTCCTGGGGATACAAACAGCAGTCTGTTATAAACGTGACACGAGAAAACAAGTTTCTTTAAAATTACCTATATTTCCGAGTTTTCATCTTTGTGAATGAGGTTTATTTATTTTCATTTAAGTTAATATCACTTATATTTATATCAACAATTTTATTGCTTTAGCAATATATGTTTTAGTACATCATCTTGTGTAAAGTATATGACAATTCGACTCGTCCAACAACGACTGTACTAACTCAATTTTTGCGTTTTTGAGTTACACCCCTAAAGAAGTAGATTACCGTGATATCTTTCAACGAATAAAGTTCTAAGTTAATTTGATCATGTTTAGGCAACCAATTTTGCACTTCAATATTGTACTAACTTGTATATCTATAAATTTTCCAACGAAAACTATCCTATCTTCAGTTAGTATAGTCTTCCTCGGCATTCCGAACGGAAGCGCCGTTGTCTAGTGAGTTAATTCGCGATAGCCGATTCCGACAGGGGGCGCTGAAGATTTCACAGATGGACGATAACTTCGGAAAACAAATCATTTTGTCATTTGATCTCTAAGATATAAAATGTTTAATATAAATTATTTACACGCGTGTTTTGCGAAAGTAAAAGTTGGAGTACGTTCTTCAAAGTTTATTTTGTTTGTGATTCGAGTTTGTACATAAGGTAATTGACTCCCAAACCTGAATAAAAATAAAATTAAATGTTTGTTTTTCTACAGTATGTCTGAGATAAGGGAAGTAAAATTTTTATTATCTTAATTATTTATATGGTTGCAAGATCGACAGGGATCTTTAGTTGAGGGTGTATTATATTATTTTGTAAATTACGCCTTACGTTTTTTACTAATATTTTATGAGACCGTTGGGGCAATTTAGCTGGTGGAACAGCATTTTTCTTCAGTCTTCTTAATTTAGTTTCAGGTGTTACTATAAAGTAAATTAAGTATAAATATAATAAAATACTTGAAAAGTAATCGTTCTTAGTAAAATGTAAACTGCACACAGTCATGTACTTGGTTATAGGTTTGCCAATTCGCAAAATGCATTGCCAAACTTTTCTTATATTCTCGTCCAGCGGAAACTAATGCATGCAATTTTTTTGTGAATTATAATAGGATGAACATTGAGGAACACTGCAATAGTTTTTTGAAGTCAAAGTCATTGTTATTTACAATATAAACCGGTCGCTAATATGTATACAAAATAATGACAATTTTAAGGTTTCCACGAAGTGGATGCTTTTGAAATCTACCACCAGGCGTCGCCCACTTTGCGGTTACTCGCGAATACAGTTTTCGCATTTTGAGGTTAAGTAAAGTACGCCGGTGGTACGCTTACATGACCCACGGTATTTACGTATAACAGTTGTACAGTGTATAAATTGCTATCAATACTAATACATTTGAATAACGGGTACATTTTTATAAATTTAAATAAGTATCCAATATGTACTCGAGAGGTCAGTTCATGGTAAATTTAGTAAGAACAGCTAACAAGCGAGAAACAGATTCTCGAGAGGCGCATTGTTCAATTTGCCAATTCAACTGATGAAAACCAGTTATCAGCCATGATATTTCGATTACTGTTTACAATAGGCTGTACAAGTTGTCAAACGTTAAGTGTAGGAATAAATAATTTTTTCGGATTGGGACAATCATCTTTTCCAGCGTATATAAACTCATTCAATAAATAATGTATCTTAGCATCACACAAACACAATATTTTTATGCCATATTTATTCGGTTTATTCGGCATATACATTTTATATCGAAATCTTTCCCTAAACCCCACCAGCATTTCATTAATAGTCATCAACTGACCACAAGCATAATTTGATTAACAGTGGGCAATCATAAGGTTTAATATTTCTAAAATAGCTACAAGTTTATCGCCATTCTGGATTCGTTAATTTCTTGTGACACTATTATCAAAGCGTAACGCATCGCATAAGAAACAAAAACGTTTTAGTTTCATAGTGGCGCGAAAAATGTTGCGACCTGTTAGATCTGTCGCCCATAACGAACTTACATCTTTATTATTTCATTTAAAAGCACCAGACAGTAAAAGGAGACAAATGAAGGCTTTCATTTCAGCTTTTTCTACATGGTTAGTAAATTGACAGTTTACGGCCCTATCAGCGTAAGACATTGTGAAATCAGTAATTTTTTTATTTGTATGTTGTATTATAATATCTAGTATATGATCGTCAAATATCAAATTCCATGATTATATTGGTTCGGCTGGTTTATTTCTGTATGTATTGTCGCGCGGCCGTAGCATCATCTCCATTATCCGGAGTTTCTGGACGCTCAGCGGCTACCGCTCTTGAAGATGATCTCGTATTACGATGATCCATCTTCGTATAGGAGTTGGTACAGATACCGGCTTATTCGTGGAAGAAGCTCTATCGAGCCTCTGCAACAAGCGAGGTGACACCGGCAAACAGAACTCTCTAACAGTTCAAGCTTTCTTACAATGACAAATATATTTCTTACAACGACAATATGTGTTAGAGTTCTGTTGCGTGGTATATGCCTCAAAATTGCAGAGATGTCGGTTTCCTTCTTATCAGGAATCGCCGCGTTCTGTCTCCTAGAAAGAGGCACAAAAATGCCCGTTGTATCGGCTCTGCAATAGCCCGTCGCTTTGTACACTACCTTTCGCACTATTAGTTTTACCAGTGTTTACTAATTACTAAAAAATGCATAAGGTTCAAAGTGTTGAAGCATCGTCGTGGCTTGACTCGAAGCGGTGAAATCGAATATAAGTCTCCGTCGAGACTTCTCCTCGTTTTTACCGTCGTTGTCCGATAAATCCGACGCAATTTGTAATAGTTCTAAAACTACTGTTTTTCTATTTCAAAAAGCGTATGTTTCTGACAGGGAGCGATTCTACAGCTGATACTCGGCCTTTCGTGCACTGTGGTATAATAGCAGACGACGAATAATGCCTTAGGATATCTTCGACGTCTGGGTTGGAAATAATCGCTGATCTTCAAAGTCGGTGTAATCGTTTATATTGGACGTAAGGACGACTTTGGTTATTTGGAACAGTTTTACTAGGAAGCACCACTAACCAACAAGGTCTAGTAGGGCTCGAAGTGTCTGACGACTGAAGTCCCGATCAAGCAAGCAAGCAATTTGATTGAACCCAGCCTATGAGACATGTTCACCCAGGTAGTACGATCGGGTGTAACAATTCATTGGAGCAAGGTGTTTTAATTCGTGTTTAAAAACAGGAATCACCCCACCGTGCTCCAATGCTCTAGACCATCCCTTTCCCCCCTATAGCAATCTGATTCGCTATAGAGGAACAACAATCAGCCAAGTGCTCTTCATGTGGAGGTCCTGGGTAATTGAACCCCAACATGGTTTCCTAACCGTATGTGAAAACTCAGGACAGCGCATCTCCGCTTTATTCCTGTTTATCTTAATGTAGCTTATCCGCGAACTAAAATTGCTTACTTGGGCCTCAAGTCTCCGCTCTGAGTCCCGGCTCAGTTCGGCGACTTGGTGCTCAAGGGGTTGGGCCCTACGTGCCCGGGTTTTAGGGTTTTTGTTAGTTTTTTTTGGTGGCCGAAGCCGGTTTTTGTTAGTGTTTTTTAATTTTTTTTGGTGGCCGAAGCCGTTTTTTGTGTTTTTTATGATTTTTTTTGTGAAGTCCCGATCGGAAGGTGCGCTGCTTTTTTATACGTTTAGTAATTGAGAAGTTAATAACGAGCGCTGTGATTGGCCGGCCAAAGTAACAATCTTTGTCGAGATTGTGTAATTTGGCGACGGTATCACCTACCACCGCAGGTATGCGTGTTCTGATTGTGTTTTCTTCTCGAATTTTTCCGCAGACTGGAGGTATTTTTGACCACTTGTATTTATTCTTTTTAAAAAAATACCTTGCTACCTCTAATTCTTCCTTTTCATCTTTTTCAACCGTATCGGATTGTTCTTGAACAATTGCATTATCAGCTTGCTTCTTTTCTGATTCATCTAACACTAAATCACTGTCATGATCGCTTAACTCGCTCTCATCGCACGAATAGTCACTAATATAAGCATTTAAAGCCTCTTCTTCAAGTTCTTGCTGCATAAGAGATCTGTTGCAGCAGTTCATTATGTAAACCAGTCAAACAAAAATAGTTTCACTAAAGGTATACTGGGTCAAATCTAGCACGAATTATTGTTTTTTCGGAAAACAGTCGCCTGCAAGCACAATGGTCAGAGGTCAAGTGAGAGTACCGTACAAAATAGGAGAATTTATAATTGGCCAGTGCCATGCGCCGTTTGCAGTATTGGTTATATAAAACCAAATTTGGTGGAGTCAATATTGACCCATCATACCAGTTGGGGGTTAAGATTGGAAAACTTAACAAGACAAACAATAACAAGAAATGACAGGATATCTTATCACCGTAAACAATATTATAAAGAAGCGAATATTACAGCAGTATTTATTTGTATTAAATACTCTCTCAAGATGAGGTGTGATCAGTGTCAACGGGATTTTGCTAACAAAAGCGATTTAGTTAGACATAAAGGAAAAAGTTGTAGAGGAGTAAAAAATACGTCCAAGAAAAGAAAAATTAATTTGCCTGTTCTAGATAATCTTGGAGATGGTGTTGAAAGACTACAACAGGCGTTCCAGTGCCGTATTGCCACGTTTAGGTTTCGTGTTAAAGGAGAGTGTATAGATCCTTTCCAGTTTATGTGTGACGTAAAGCAAAAAGTAAACCACGTGTTGGGTGATTATAATAGAAATCACCACAGCGTCAAGGTTAGTTTTTAACTCTATGGACTTTATATTATACCTGCTAAAGAAGTATCGGAAATAAAATTATTTAATACAAAGAATAAAATAGTAACAAAGTCCTCTGATCTTCATCAAATTTACGATGATTTTCAAGACGAAATAATGACCAAAGCTTCTGAGTTTGAAGAGTCGAAATCTGGTTGAAGTCTGAAGCAAGTCATGTTTTTGAATTTGTACATTAACAGGTACAGTCCTTTGATACCGTCTTCGTATATAAGATTACTTTTTCAATTGAGCAGAAGAGAGGTACGCTGAATAGACAAAATCAAGATAGTGCCTGCTTCGCTTGGAGCATTAACGCGGCAATATTACCTGCAAAAGGCGACCCTACTAAACCAGAATCATATCATCATTATAGTACACTGCTTATTTTTGATGGAGTTGGGTTTCCTATCAAACTAGGAGATATACATAAATTCCTACAGTTAAACAATATATCTGTCAACGTGGTTGGTCAAGAAACATACTTCAAAGATAGAAAAATGATCACTGAATTAGTTGGTTCATTTTACCATATAGCCAGTCGCCAAGCTACTCATGTAAATCTTTTATTAACAACAGATGATAATTAAACCAGCCACTACTGATTAATGACAAATTTCTTAAAACTTGTGCGAAGTCAAAAAACTAAACGTCAAAGGCAAACTTTTATTTGTGACGGATGCCTACAATTTTTCTATACCCAGCAACATTTAACCAAACACCAAGAATTTGACTGCAACCATCTGCGAACAGAGATGCCGTCTACTGATTTAAAAATATATAAATATGGAGAGTACAGACCTGAAAACATACTTAAATTTACTAATTCTGAACGACAACTACTGGTACCGTTTTTCATATATGCTGATTTTGAAAGTTTATCGAAACCTTTTGCTTACACTGAATCTGACAACAAAGAATATTTTACTGTAAAAGCATATGAGCACGAGCCTTCTTCCTTTGCTTTTTATGTAAAATGTAACTTCAGTGATAAATTTTGTAAATAATATTCTTATCGGGGTCCTAATTGTGCGGAAGTTTTTACTGCCATGATTGATGGTATAGTACAAGAATTGTATCTTAAGCACTTTAAACATGTTAAACCAATGAGTCCATTAACCAAACAACAAACTAATGAATTTGATAAAGCTACTTCATGTTACATTTGCGGTAAATTATTTAAACAGGGAGATGAAAAAGGGCGAGATCATGATCATTTAATTTCGGAAAACAATTTTCGTGGTGCCGCTCACTCGGTATGTAACTTAAACTATAAAATTCAAAATTAATACTAACAAAAAGCTACAATATAATAATAGTTAGAATATCATATTCTGTTATTATATTGTCTCATACATTTTTTAATAGGCTTATTCATTTTACTATTTAACTTTCAACACTCTTACTAATAAAACACTCGTATTCTAAGGTCATTTCGTATTTATACTTAGAATAGTTATCCTAAGTATAAATAAGGTAAATATAATACTAAATTAATTTGTTACAAATAAACTCGGTATAAACTCGTTATAAGTATTTCCACTTTATTCCGAAATATTAGTTTGGCAATGTAGTAATCTTTTGCACAAATACATAGAACAACGACATATTGGGTGAAATATGTCAATTTGGAATTTTCTTTGAAACTGACAACTTACTCCAAATATATCTTTATTTGTTATTTGTTATATTATATTTTCTATGTTGAGTTTGAGTATCTTTTAAAAAATAAGTGAATCACCTATTAGTTTTTCCTTTTAAGTATTTTCCATCATGTTAATTAAATTATTAACTTTCTCGACAGCCGCAACACCTCTTAAACACATTTTTTTATTATATGATGACTGATGACTTTGACATTCATGAAATAGGTTATACCAGACTTAAACAAGGGTGCGGGTCACGGTTCGTAGACTTCCTACGGTTGCCTTTTCCAACTGGGGTGGGGATGCTTGAGTTACGTCACCAGAGTACACAAGAATACAAAACCCATTTATTCGAGATTGAAACTGAATTGTAGTTGGCAGGTTGATTGCAGTATCATGGCCGATATAAATGGTATAAACAAAAACAAATATAACAGTCGAGTGTTTACCATTGCTTTTCCATGTTTAGTTTGGTTTAAGACGAGTTATTTATATCATTTAAAAATGGAAATTAACCTTAATGATATCTTTGAGTATTGTGGTGAAGCAAAGAGTCCATTGGTTGAGGGGGGAAGCAGTTTTCAAGCGATGAATTCCTAAATTTTAACTTTAATGTTTCGAACTGGCTTGTGCATTGATGATGATGAATCCTATTTTGTGTATACCTGGGAACCCAGAATATAATATTCTATATTGTTCTGAAGCTATTTTCTTGTGGCATTGTAAATTAGTTACTGTTAAACTGGCAATAAGCCACAATTAAAGATAAAAATACGTTTATTGACGTTTCTATTTCCACTTCGGAAATCGTTCTCAAAATACAAACAGTAAATTAAACAAATTTTGTTTTTTGTTACATAGTGAAAAATTCTTCTTATAATTTAATTTTATCTGACTCATTTATATTGACAATTCAGACATACATTATGCATTTTAAAAAAGTAGATGACTTTAAAATGATATTGCCAATATTGTTGAGTTGCGCTCCTGGGACGACTTTACTTATAAGATAGTTCATTCGATTACATGAAATCAACTTTAACTTGAGAATATCCGTCAGAAAAAATCATAGCATGTAATTCGTCTTTAAAAAGACAAACACATGACATGATGACAGTAAAATTCTCCTGTTAGTGATTCCATAGTAAATTATGAGGGAAAAACCAGGAAAAAACGAACCTCATAATACTATCCCGACATTGTAAGTATTTGTTCGTAAATTGTAGTAAGATCTGTTAATAATAAATGTAGTAGGATCTGGTTACCAATATTGAAAGAGGAAGTTATTAATAGGAAAATACCAGTATTAGTAAGTCAGTAACATATAGAGGATACATCATTTATGTTTTTTAAATAACGTAACATATAAAATCAGAATTTTGATGTTTGTTGAAGGTAAACTAAATTCACGAACAAATACTTACAATGTCGGGATAGTATTATGAGGTTTTTTTCCTGGTTTTTTCCCTCATAATTTACTATGGAATCACTAACAGGAGAATTTTACTGTCATCATGTCATGTGTTTGTCTTTTTAAAGACGAATTACATGCTATGATTTTTTCTGACGGATATTCTCAAGTTAAAGTTGATTTCATGTAATCGAATGAACTATCTTATAAGTAAAGTCGTCCCAGGAGCTCAACTCAACAATATTGGCAATATCATTTTAAAGTCATCTACTTTAAAATGCATAATGTATGTCTGAATTGTCAATATAAATGAGTCAGATAAAATTAAATTATTAGAAGAATTTTTCACTATGTAACAAAAAACAAAATTTGTTTAATTTACTGTTTGTATTTTGAGAACGATTTCCGAAGTGGAAATTGAAACGTCAATAAACGTATTTTTATCTTTAATTGTGGCTTATTTCCAGTTTAACAGTAACTTATAATATTCTATGTAATGTCTTAACTAATATATGCATTATTTTACATTATGCCTTATGTTTTTAATATGTTAATTTTTATTTTATACTATTTTTTGACATATGTAAGTACTTTATTGTATATTAACATAAATAAACAAATTTAACTTGAATTTATTGTAAGATACTTTATTTGATTATATGAAATCGACTTTAACTTGAGATCACCTGTCGGAAAATATCATAGCCCATGATTTGCCTTTAAAAAATTCCATAATAAATTATTTTTTTCTTCAAGTTTCTCAGTTTGGGAAAGAGAAATAGTTACATATCTTTTGTCGATCTTGAATTGCATTGAGGACCAGAACAATATCGATTTGATTTAAAATACTTTAAAACGTAGTCGTAATGCTGAAATTTACTAAAAAAATTAATAATTCTATTTAAATCAACAGCTGTCTGGTTTGTTTATACCACTTTTATACCCAGTATTATAAAACATTTTACTTGCCAAGTAAAATTTAGTTTGAAAGTAAAATAATGTACTCTACAGATTTGCGTATTATAAACGCAAAGTAAAGTAATTCTGGAACTAAAACTGAAAACTAAACTATTCGTTAGTTATTGTTAGATCATTGTTAAAATATTATGATTCAAATCACGTCACGAGAGTACAGTTCCGGCTTAATGTTCATTGGTTAGGCGAAAGAGGCAACCGTAGTTAGTCTACTAACCGTGGGTGCGGGTGGGTATAATCCTCGAATAAATTCTTATATCAAGTATAACCTATATCTAAGTTATTCCATGTTTATTGATAGTAATTTTGTCTATACCTGATTTATTCTTAGTATAAGTTTTATACTTGGTTTATTAGTTATGCTGCTAAATTCTCACATATTTATGCACCAGGTCTCTTAACGTTGTTACGGCAACCATCATTACCCAATAAAAAAAAAAATTACTTCAATTTCATTGGATATCAACTTAATAAGATCTTCTTCTTTGGGTGCCGTCTTCAATGAAGGTTGGCGATAACCTCAGCAAAATCATTTCTGTCCCTGGCTTTTCTTATTAAAGATTGAGAATCCAAACCAGTCCACTCACGAATGTTCTTCAACCAGGACGCCTGCCGTCTACCAGGACCACGTTTTCCTTCTACCTTCCCCTCTATAAGAAGCTGCAGTAGCTGGTATTTCTCATTTCTGTATATGTGTCCCAAATATGAGGTTTTCCGTTTTTTTGATTATTTTTAAGAGTTCTCTGTCGGTACCCATCTTGTGTAGGACCTGCTCGTTGCTCATATGCGCTGTCCAGGGGACTTTCAGCATCCTTCGAAATAACCACATTTCAAAACTTTCCAAACGCCTGAGTAAGTTGATTTTGAAGGTCCAGGCCTCCATTCCATATAATAAGGTGCTGTAAATGTAACATTTCAGCATTCGGTATCGGATTTTGAGATTGAGTGTTTGGGACGTAAACATTTGTTTCATTTTTAAAAAGAAATAATAATTAATAAGATAACGTTTAGTATATACTACTTTTTATACCATATCTTACACTTATTATGTGGATAGTACCATATCACTTCTTTGCATTTTTTACTTTAATCAATTTTCATACTACTCATGATGTCATAGATTTAACCTCGAGCATAATTTTCACTAATTTAATAACTTACTTGTTTTTTTAATAATAGAGATTTGCAGATTTAAGACAATAAATATTTTTATTTAACTAATAGTTTACACTAATAAAGATATTAGGTAATATTAGAACAAAATAAATTTAATAATTTTAAAAATTAAATTAGTTTCTCAACGTACCCATACCTCGTCATGTTAATGTTATCTTCTTGAATTATATTTTCTGTTACCTCAGCCAGTTGGTCTGTGTCGTTTTAACTGACCAGAGTCACGTGTTCAAAACGAGCAAGGAGACATGTAGCTCCTCAAGTACCTATTAATTTTTATCCAATGTCATCGATTTAGAATCACAGTATAATTTCAATTTGGAATATTGTAAAACCATATATGGATGTCACAGCTACAAATTTAGTGTCAGCTTCAATTTTATAA